TAAAAAAGAGTCACTAATGCTGGAAGATAAGTTAGGCAGAACTCTGAAGACATTGGCATAGTAAAAGACTTTATGAACAAATCCTCAGTAGCAGGGGAACTAACAGAAAGAATCAACAACTGGGATCTCATCTTACTAAAAAGCTTCAGCACTGCAAAAGAACTAAACAGCCATCAACAGAACTAAAAGACAACCTACAGTGTGGGAAAAAATTTTTACCAGCTGATCCTCAGACAAAGGACTATTATCTAGAATATATAAAGAACTCAAAAAAACCAGCCCCCCTAAATATAAAGACCCGATTCAAAAAGAGGAGTGAAAGTTTTTTAAAATCCAATTTCCACCACTCATTCATGACATGACTTTGGGCAAATTATTCCAACTCCTCTCATCCTTAGATTCTTTGTCTAGGAAATGGACATAGTAATGATGAGTCTACTTAGCAGAGCTCTTCTGAAGATCAAATGATAGGAGATGAATCACTGGGAAGCTCAGAATAGTGTCTGTGCATAGCAGGTATTCAACGAATGCCAGTGATTATAATTGGTAATTACTAGAAACATCTTAGTAGCATCAGATGCCAATGATAGAAAGAATAGTAGTAACTTCACTATCTCTTATTTGGATTATTTTACATTCCTTCTGTTATTTTGGAATCGAAGTTGAGAGGTAGCCCCGATTTATGAAGACTAGAACTTCAGTTTCTTACATTCTGAAATGGGCCAAAGGATTTCTTGTCCTTTTATCCCATTTCTAAAAGGCAGGTGATGTAATGAAAAAAAAAATCTTAATTTCAGAGGTTACTTCAAACCTGGGATTGTATCCTGTTTACTGTACTTATGTGAAATTGCTCATAGCACTTAATATTAGGATCTATAATGTTCCTGTCTATAGAACATGTATAACAATACTGTATTTACCTTGAAAGGATGTCATTAAGATTAGATATAAATATGTTAAATATCCTAATATTCCTTGAGTCTTAAATCCATTTATTGTACAAACTTCAACTGTTATATCCAGGCAAGATACGAAAATGCCAAGCATAAACATACACAAATGAATAAGCTTGATCCTTGCTATTAGGTGATGGCAATGAGGGAAACATACAAGTGATGAGAGCTATGTGAAAGGGGAATATCGTGGAAGGCTTTCTAAAAGAGGAAACATTTCAGCCTTGAAGGAACAAAAGGACTCAGCTAAATGAAGAAGAGGGAAAGGGCTTTCTATGCAAAAGGAGAATATGGGAAGCCTCCAAAATATGAAGGATGTCTGTTACTTCTTTGCAGACATCCCTCAGCGTGTTGACCATTATAACTGAGGAAACAAAAATAACTTGTTGACAGATCTCACTCTGTCAAAGACCATTTGATTTGTTACAAGCCAAATGTTTCCCTTTGGAGATTTAGCAAATGTTTCATCTTAAAGATGACGTTATTGGCAAAGGTTAAAGGTCTCCAAAGAAGGCAGTTTTTGCTGGGGATAGATCTCATGCACAGCACCTGCTACAGTACGGCCACAAGGAGACTGTGCTGGGGAAATATGATGTCTGCTTCTGGTTCAGCTAGAGTCTATACCCCACACTAGGGCTGTACCTGAATCTCTGTTAGCCAAAACTCATTCTACATTAGGTGACATCCAGTGTCTTAAATTCTAGCAACTTGTAGCCATTCAGCTACAGGGATTCACACATCAGGTATGTGGGTGTGCTGGGTGTGAAAAGGCAGATTTGATATAATCAAAACCACCACACTTGTACACATACCTTCAGTCTGTAGGGCCATGGAAGCTCAAAAGGTAAGAATTAGCCCATTTTATTTCTCTTTGTATTTCATGATAGCTCTTCTTCCTTCAGAGTCCAGGTTTGGTTTGAATGTGAAGGGAAGATCAGAGTAAATACAGATATTTTATTGTCTCACTTTCTCTCTCTTTCTTGTTCTCTTCTGTGGTTTAATTTGCATATGATGAATCTGCTTAATACTGTCCTTAAGCATTCAGTGGAAAAGCTAAAAAAAAAGTAAAGACCATACCAGTAAGATTGCCATCACTGGCCTTTATGGGCATTGTCTTAATTACATTTCTCTCATTGCTGAGACAAAATACCCAGTGCATAAAGTCAAAGGGGAGAAGGATTATTTAGCTTACTGTTTGTAGAAATTTCAATCCATAAGTGGCTGACTCCAAGGCAGGGTGGCATGGCAGACAGGCATTGCAAAAGAAAAATAGTTCATGGTGGTCAGAAGTTAGCAAAGCAAGCAAGGGAGAAGACAAAGCTCTTTCTGTCCCTTATATTGTATCCAGGCTACCAGAATTAAAGTAGTGCCAAACCAATCACACACTCTTTATCTAAGTATCACACACTCTAGATTCAGCCACCTCTGAAAAAGCCCCATCATAGACCATGTGGGACTTTGGGAGGACATCTAAACAGTAACCATAACAGGCATTTGGGTCAAGATGCAGATTCTTTCTTCACCATTTGAGGGTGAGGAAGTACAGTGAGGCACTAGATGTGTATTTCCACCTGCCTTTATGTCCACGAATGTTTATGTGTGCATGCACTCAAATGTATATGTTCACAAGTGAAGCACCCTTTCATGCTTTGATTGGCTGTCCCCGGATCATTTCATTTCATTGGCTCTTCTACTGTAAGGAGCTGTGATCGACTAGAATGTGTTGTTCACCTAGGGATAAACTGAATACATCTTTGCGATGGAGCCTTTACAAGCGAAGCCAGAAAGCCAATAAAAGATGGAGTACATGTGTCTTGCATGATTTATAAGCTGTCATGTGCTTCTTTGCATATTTTCTTAATGAACACAGTCTTAGCTTTTGGAAAAACTTTAGAACTTTGAAGAAATCTTTTAAAAATAGATCCACTTAGGTATCAAGATTTACAAGTGTGATCGAAAAATTCAGTGAATGTTTAACTTTAAAAAAAGTACAATAAAAGACACACTGCCATTAACCTCCCTCAAAAATATTGCCCCCTTCTTCTAGCACACTTACCCTGCCATTCTTGCCACTTTATTTATTATTATTATTTTTTGGTACTGGAGATTCAACTTGGGCCCTTGCACTTGTGAGGCAGTGGCAGAACCACTGAGCCAAATCCCCAGCCCTACTTGCCACTTGCTAAATAAGTTCTGGAAATTATTTTTCATGAGTGTCTTTTATGAAGTATGATAAATATATAGCGAGTACAGATACTAAGTTCCATCCATCAGAAAGGCAGCCTTGTGTTTCCTCATCCACTTTATTCACTGGATTTGGTACCGTGTCACTTCTGGCACTTCCCCAAAGTTAAAATGAACATGAAGGCTAAACATTTTGAATGAATTCAGGCCATCAAGGTGGCCATGAAAGTGCAAGTAAAGAAACTCATGAAAGAAGACCTCCAGAACTGCTTCAGAAGGTGGCAAGCACTTTGGAGTAAAATGCAGTTGGAGTGAAGGGCAGTATTTTGAGGAGTATTAATAGCAATGCGTCTTTTACTGTAATACATTAAAAAAATTAAACATTCCTCATATTTTTATTTCTATTTCTATAAGCACAAAGGAAATGATTTTTATTAATGTGATAATGAAAAGTTGGTGGGACAGTGGCTTAGGGCATAGGTTGTCATGGGATATCCTTTTTCCCTAGAATGACCATGGCTTCAGGTTGCCATGTTGACAAAAGCTGAGGTAAGTGAAACCTATCAAGTCGCAGTTGGTGGGATCACTGGTTTCTCTTATTTCTGTCTCTGGCTTTATGAAAATTATAACCCCACAAAACCATAAGAAAAAAGATTGTACATTTTCTTTTAGTTCCACTCTTACATGCTTTTTTTTGTGGAGGATAGCACAAAGGCAGAAAAGAATAACCTATATACACAACAGTAGTAGTCTGTTTTTCTCCTACTTCCCCTTTCCCCTAATAAAACAAAAGGCACATTGGCTAGTGAGCCAACTCTCTGTGTGTTCAAAGGTGGAATTGCATCTTTTGGTGTCTGGGTGTATTTTGCGTTATAATGCAGCCTTATTGCTAATATTTCCCTGGAAAGTTTGCATAGCTGTCTCAGTGTCAACAGGCAGGGCAGGAACACAACTGGACTGGCCGCAGGTGGAGATAACATTGCCTGGAATGTTCTTCTGGGTGCAGTTTTCTTTGATACTGTTTTCTAAAATATTAAGACTGGTTCTTCCTCTTTGATAAAAGTCACAGTGCATTATTAAGCTTTAAGATGCTGAAGTACATTCAGGGTACAGATACATTCCTTTGGGAAGAAAGTATCGTGTAGTAGAAAGAACAAAAGCTTTGCAGCCAGAGAGATTTTGGTTTGAGTCCTTTTTCCATCCTTTGTCTTTCTTTTATCAACTTTATCAGTACATTTTAGGCATACGTTATGACCACATTCATCACTGGGAATTTGTACCTGTACGTGATATATCTTACCTTAAGTAAATTAATTGCTCTAAGTTTTCATTTCTTTATCCACACAGATTTTTGCAATATAACATAAGATAACGTACATTAAGGATGGAGTTGAAACTAAGTGTACAGTAGTGATCGCTAGTAAAATCCATTTAGCAGTTGGAGGGGAAAGGAAGGAACTGCATCTTGTGTGGCCTGGGACAGACGGGGATGGGAGGAACCCAAATCTGGGTAATGAAGTGATGTCTGAAGTCGAATCGCAGGACACACAGAATTATGTGCATTTTCTTCTGAATTCTAGCTCAATGACTTTAGCTTTCATTTCCAGACACAGCAAGGAAGGGTGCATGGCGATATGTGCCACAGTTGGGAGGCAGGTGTGCCAGGCTTATGCACTGCTGGGCCAACTTGCGACCCCGCTGTGAGTTCACTTGCACATTTCTCTGCTTCCTAAATTTTACACACAAAAGTATTTTGAGTTAAGCCTGCTTTGCTAGTATATAACAGACAAGGTTTATAGCATCTAGGACACTGTGTGACTCGCGCCCCCCAACCCCCTCCTCATTCTCTTCTCTTTTCTTTAGAAATCATTATCGCCAGAGTGCAGCTGCCATGGGTGGAGCATCTGGGAAGTGTTATTACACCCTCACCTTCGCTGTCACCTTCCCACACAGTGAGGATGTCTGCTACCTGGCCTACCACTATCCCTACACATACACAGCCCTCATGGTAACCTCCTCTATCACTGTTATCCTATAGGGTGGGGGTGGGGATTTCCCTCAGTTTTTCCTGAGAATATTCTGGAGACCCTGGCATCCTGGGTGGGTGGAAGGGAACTATTTCCTTTCTTAAGGGGGCTAGGTTTTGTTGGCATTGACTTGGTGGATTTCTGTCTCCTTCCCTGGATGGAGCAGGGGGCTTAGTCATGCCTACATCCTTCTGAAGGCCCTGGATGTCTGTAGGTTGAGTGTGGGAGGCAGGGGCTTTCCTTAGGGACGTGTCATTAAAAAGTCCTCAAGTTTGGGCTGGGGGATTTAGCCCAATGGTGCTGCACTTGCTTTGCAAAACGCAAGGTCCTTAGTTCAATCCCTGGTACTGGAAAAAAAAAATGTTCTAGAGCATGAAGCAGTTAGATCAACATTGAATTGGGATCAAACCATACAAGTAAGCTGCATGACAAATTAAAGGGCTCTTCCTGGAGGAAACGAGTAGAAGGCAGGAAGGAGACAGCTGGAAAACTCCATGGTCTGTGAGCAAGCAACCATTGCAGATTCTCTGGTGGTTTTCCTGGCCGTAGACCAGAGGCTGCTGGAAGGATCCAGGGAGTACAAACAGAGAAGAAGAATAAAATATTGAATCACTGATCACTTGTGATGTTTTTATAAGGAGTATAGCAGTAGCCAGTCTATACTCATAGCTAGCATGCTTGCATTCTGTAAGGCCTTATACAAAATTCAGGAGAAAATTTTTAGTAAACAGTTTGCTTAAACCACGTAGATTTCTATCATTTGAAAAAGTTGTTAAACTATAGCTTTCCCCTAGCTATTTCATGGGTATCTCAAAGATTAATGAGCTACAGTATCTTCTCCAAAGTACTTTCATCCTCTGTGTTAATGTAAAACATTATTAGCATATTTATAATAATATATGTGTATATGATTGTGTGTATCATTTAGCCTGAAGGATGTGCATTTTCATTTTAAGACTGTGATAAGGAGTTGGGAAAAATAAGAACCATGGACATATTTCCCTTCAAAAGAATGCTCAGGTATGAATGGAAATTTTTCTCATTGAGCAGGCACATTTTAAACTGCTTGGCTAACCACTCCATGAAAATACATCTGTCCTTCTCTCCATATGTTGTCTTGCCTGAAGAGAGACTTTTATTGGTTTCCAGATTGCAAAAGATACACAACTAGTATTATTTGTGTAACACATGAAGAAAGCTTGAGAAGTTAATCCAAGAAATGTGCATCATACACTATTCTGAAACAAGCAATGTTTGTTATAAAACATGTTTTTTGCCTTTTGGGATGGAGAACAGCAAGATTCATGATCTCCTTCCACAGCTGTTTTGACAGTCTCCGTTGTGAAATGCTGCACGTGTAAAGTCTACTGGGGAAGGAGATTCTTTTTTGAATATATGTCTGTCTTTTTCACTGGAGGAAGGGACTGTGGGTCCAGGAAACTCTTCTTTTCACTCATTAGAGTATGTTGGATCCTGCTGAGATTCCTGGTGGCAACTAATATAAAACAGAATTCAGAAGGTTTGGGAAGTTGTCTAATTCACCCTTCACATTTATCGAAGTAAAAATCTGAAGCCCCAAATCCCATATCAGGCTAGCAGCCAAGCAGGGAAAAGCTCGCTGGCCTTTGATGTCAATTCCAGTGGCCTTTCTACTTACTGCAGGAGTGTAGGATAAATTCAGACGAATTTCTACCCTGAGGTCAGCTCAGTGTCTTCGCCTGTAACAACATACAACAGCTACTAAAATGCAGTCAAGTTTTATGTAAGTACAGGTAACCAATAGACATCTCTGATGGTTGAGTTAAAATCATCATCCACGGTTTTTGTATGAAATGTTGAGTGCTGTGGGTGTCATTCATCTGTGGGGTAAAGTTTCTTATCAAACACGGTCAGCTCTTTTTCTAGGATGATCTGATGGGCTCTTGCTAGACACCTACAACCTGGTTCAAAGTCTTTAACCCTTGCAACCTGGCTTCAGCCACACTTGGATGCCCACTTAATTTTTGGAGATTTAGATAAAGCACAGGTTCTAAAATTTATAATTTCTGAATAATGCTGTAATCAGTTCATTCAGTGGAATCAGTGGGGAAATAATTTCGTCTTGAAAGGAGACAAAAACACAAGAAAAGTGAACCCTCTCAGTCACTTAGTCTCACTGAGAGGGTGAGAGGCCCCTTGGTAATTGATCTTTATTGGCTTGTTACTTAGCCTATTGACTATGAAAGTTTGAGTAGAGTTAATGAGAGAGAGAGGCAGGAAAAGTGATACCTTCTTATTTCTCTAAGTGAGCAGACCAGGGTTAGAAGGACAATTTGTACTTGAAAGTGAAGGATATGTATCCTCAATTTTAGGTTTTACATTTCCAACAACTCATGGTCTTAGTCTTCTCTAAGTTTAAAACAATAATTGATTCTGTGACTTCTCTTGAAACACCCTTCCTCTGCCACGGATAGAAATGAGTACATTCTGTAATGCACACTAGTCATTTTTATTTTTTATTTTTTGAACGTGTCCTAAGGAGAAACAGTTTTTCTTCCAAAAAATCAGTGATAAATTGAATGTGAATGATACCCCAAGGGCAGAATTAACTGTATGTTACTTGAGGGTTATGCTGAGGGGTGGAAAATACATTTCTACATGGAATTCACAATTTGTAAATCTCTCATAATATGGACTATGTTTAATAATTGCAGACATTTTTATAGCAGAGGACTTGTTATGCTGGATGTTTTTCACTGTGAGTACAATTTGAAACTTTAAAAAATTTTATTATTCTCTTACAATAAGAGAATTACTATTTGGTTCTTTCAAATTGATATCTTCCAGATGCTTGTCAGCAATTCTGTTGGATAATTGTCCAAATTATAGCATTAAAATAAAGCTGAAAGAGATACAATATTATTATAATTCTGAAACAAACAAAAGAAGTTATATTTCAATCAACTGTATCAGAATATCAGTAATTGTAATGACTGTTAAAGTGTTGTTTGTTTTGCTTGCTAAAGATTGGTATTATGTTTTGGGTTGTCTCTAGGTAGCCAGTAGTAGTCTTTTAAAATGGGGCCCCAAGACATTTTCTGATGGATATTGTAGGCGGCAAGGAAATGAGATCTCATAAACTGGCAAGAGATAAGAAAAGTGACTGTAAGTAGAGTTGGGAGAACTTAGAGCTTTGAAAGGGTAGAACAGAGCTTTTCACTAGACCCGCTGTGGAAGATGTTACCACAGTTATCTTCCAAGATTAGCAATGGAGTGTGGTGTAGGGAAAGGAAGAGCAGGAGGGAAAAGGAGGGAGGAGGGATGTTATATATTCAGTATTTTACAAAGGACTCTGAGTAAAAAGAGTTGAAGACGTGTCAGATGGAAACATTGACTTATATGTGGTACATCAAAGATGAAAGGAGTAAGCCATAAATCAGTGTTGTCAGGTAATCAGTAGTCAGAGACCCATCCTTGTATGAGTGCAATAAAAGGCCTTGATGTTGAGGAGGTGAGCCTGAAGGCCCACCCTGCAGGAGCCAGGATGTGGATGGATGGTGAAATCTTTTGCCACATGGACCCCTGAATTCAAGGGTCTTGTGTGCAATGTAAGAATAAGCTCTGGAGTCAGACAGGCCTGGATTGGAGCCCTGACTCTGTGTTTCCTTGCTCTGTAGTCACAGGCAAGTTGTTTAATTTCTTTTTTCCTTGATTTTAACCTGTAAAATGGAACACAAAGACAGTTATTATACAGGCTGTTTTAAAGATTAAATGATTAACACATGGAAAGTATCAGTAAAGTGCCCATATCTGTGTTTACATCTAGTAAGCAATGGATGATAAACACTGGAGCATTTATTCTTTCCTTTATGATGATGTAGGATCATTTTCTCTGTTGACTGATTGGATATGCATTCCATAGTTCATGCTAAAATTAATAGTATATAAAAATCTAGGTAAAAGAAATGTATACTGATGATTTCCTTAGGGTGCTTGATTATGATTATTTTTTCTTTACATGCTTTTCTAAATAATCAGTAATAAAACTTTATAACGGAGAAAGGATAATAAGATTCTCTTTTCTTTATATTATAATTGGCAAATCTGTAAGCAGATACCTAGAGATTTATTGTTCCTCTCATTCTTAAAAGAAGTCCTAGGTGTTATAGGGCATAGCTCAGTACAGGGCACTTTGCTGGGGTGCTCTGGGTGCTGGGTTCCATCCCTAGCACTACCAAACAGAAAAAGAAAACCCAATCAGACAAAGTTAGTCCTTTTAAGTTAGGGAGAGTGGTATTGTCATTATCAGACTGGAATAGTTAGACAAAGTTGATTGGAACAAGCCGATAGTATGTTCTGTAGCTTTTATTTCACTTATAGGTGTTTTTGTTCTTATTTGTGCTTCTGTGATGAGAAGTCTTCAAATGTCTGATGAGAGTATTTATGCGACAACTGAGAACTAGGTAGTGCACAAATGAAATAGGCCATCTCCTTAGGTATGGGCTTTCTTTTAAATTAGGGGAATAAAGAGTGCCGTGCTTTAGGGGATAACAATAAGGAATGAACGGTTTTGAAGTGTATAGCACGTCCCACTTTTACCAGTAGCCATCGTCAGGGTAACCTGCTGAGATCTGGGTAAGTCTTTTATGGAAGTTTTAAAGGAGTAGCTGCTGAAGGACAGGGAGACAGAGTACTCCCATGGAGAGACACAGGGTGAGGCTATAGGCTAAGGTTATCAGCTCTGTACCTTTCACAGACAGAATTTTCTTTGAAGAAGTCAACTTCTCTGGGGGTTGCCACAATTGCCTTGAGTTCATTCCCAGTTTTATAAAGAAACCCACCCCTGTGGCTTTCACAGGGCCTTAATTACAATCACTTGGCACATGCATGCAGTGGCCCTGCTTCTTCCATCAATGAGCCTAACAGTATTCAATTAGGCGCAGCCTTTCTGGACCAGCGGTGGGATCATTTCACCTGGAGATCATTCCTAGGAAAATAAGAGTCATTTTTGTGAAAGGAAATCCAACGGAATTTTATAGTTGGTTTACGTCTAGCAGTCTTCTGTGTGACTGGAGCCCACGTAATGTCCTCAGGGTGGAAGTGTTCTACATTTAGTACATTATTTTTGGTGGCAAGTCCAACGGAAGTGAGATTCCAATGGGGGGTTCGGGGAGATGATATGGGGCAAGCCGCGGTTTGTGGAAAATGAGCTTAAGCTAAAAAATATTAAGCATTTGTTGAGTTCTAATACTATTAATCATTGTAAATGTAGCAATAAAACATTAAGAGAGTCTATGGAGGAAGAAGACTTTCAAACCACTTGTTCCTGCATATGTGGCTAGGGCACACAGTAAAGAAATACTGCTGGGTAGGATGGCATCCATGGGCACAGTGATGCTATTTCGATGTTTTTCTTCTTTTAGTTAGTGGTGCTTGATGACTTCCATAGGCAAACGTGCTGCAGGTTTTTTTTGGTATTGTTTCATATCATTTCATCCACCAGAGAGCTGTGGATGCTTTGTAACATCACAGCATAATGGTCTTTTCTTGAGAAGAGTCATTCTTAAGCAGGCTGTCCACCATCACACTAACACCCCATCAGTAAGAACTCTTGTGGCCATAGTAAAATGTGAAATAAATAGGAGTAAGGGGTGACAGTGGGGAGAAGAAAGAGAGAGAAGCTCATAGAGACAAATTTGTAAGGTAGTGTTTTCCAAAGTGTGTTCTGTAGCACTCCAATTTCCCGAGATTTTTAGAGAAAAATAATTTAACAGTCATGTTAATTCATGAAGCACTGTCTGCTAGTTTTTCTCCTAAGCATTCACAATGCATATTGGCATATTAAAGAATCAGAGAAACCCTACAATCATAACATATCCTCATATTTTTTAACTTCCCACTTTCCAAGTGCTTTGGTATAGATTTCTTGCCTCCTCTATCTCCCCGCCCCTACCCCAGCACTTATTACCATCTTGCAGGATACACTTTGGAGAATGCGGCATTAGTTTCCTTTCTTAATTTTGGAGCCTGAAATCTTGATAGGCGTCATGAAGCAAGATTCACTTAGTCTAGATTTCCATAAAAAGCATCATAAGAGCAGATTTCACCCAGAAATGTATGAAAGTGATAAAACATAATTTGTTCATGATCACAATGAGTATTATCTAAATTCAACATTATCCGTTATTTGTAACTAAGGTACTGGAATTTTTCTTTTCCAAGGTGCCTTAGAAACATGGCTAGCAGGGTGGAGACATTTCCATTCTTGTTCTGGGACACTCAGATGTCTACCTCCTCTATGAGGGTTTTAATTAATAATTTAAGATTAATTTTTTTCTTCAACATGAATTTCTACACTAAAGCCATTTTTTTACTGTGTGCTTTCTTTTATTGTCAGAAAATATGGTTTGTACCACTCCTTTTTAAAAAACATACAGTGAATTTTTAATGACTATATATGATTAATTTCTGTTAGGCTTTTATGAGTTTTTGAGGAAAATATAATAAAAGAAGTCCTCGTTAAAGACAAAGTTTGACATATATTTAAACAATAGCATGAAAATGTTCTGTATCTTTTATTTTTGAGTACTGCATTGCTTTCTTAAAAATTCCCACTCTTAGTGTAATTTTTCACCTTCTGCTGTTTTGTGTTATGTATTTCAATCCCATGTTATTTGATTCTTAAGATTTATGGGTTTTATATGTTCATTGTGTATCATGCCCTTTATTGAAATAAGATTTTAAAATTCCATTTAATGTACTTGATCCTGAATATGACTTTGTCATATATTACTGTTGCCATGCCTGCTTTAATTTATGTTTGCTTATCCTTTTAGTTTCAATATTTCTCCCTTAAAATATTTGAGTAGAGGCAAGGAAAATGAAAAAAATAGTATAGAAGTGCTTCTCATAGTCAGCATGCCTCTTTAATCTTACTTCTTACATACAATATGCATTGGAATTTTTAAAAAGTAATACAAAGTTTTCTGTTATTTAATAAGACTGATTAACTTGTTTATTCTTTTAGCCATTTTTATTATTCCTGCCCTTTAGCTTTTATGCTCTTTTTGGTGCTTCATTAATGTCTTTTCTTTCATTTTCTTATGTAACATGGTCTAGACATTTTTTTTGAGTTCTGCCCTCCAGTGTTTATAACTCTGCTGCCTCCCTTTTAGTTCCTAAAAATAGCATACTTGAACTTATATTTCTCCATCAACAATAGCAGCTAACATTGAGTGTTTCTTACATGACACATGCTTTTTGCATGCATTATATAGCTAAATTATACAACTACTGCATGGGTTAAATAATGGTATGTTTATACACACTTTAAAGATGAGAAAACTGAGTCATAAAGAGCTTAAGTAAAGAATTTCCATAGCCTTCCCAGAATCCACAGCCTGAATGATACCCCAGGCAGTTTGATGAACATCTTCCCTTTTCCTTAGCCCTCATGGTATACCCCCTTTATGTTTATAAGAATTAAATAATATTTTCATATCCCTGCAAGTTGAAACAGTTAACATTTTGTTTCAATTTATCCTTCCTCACTTATCTGTCTAATTTCACTTTTAAATTGTGATGACATCAAATTTTGACAATATGTACTGTACTAAATAATATTTTATGTTTGCTTTATACAGTAACCCTGTTTTTAATATTAATTTAGACTTAAACCTTGTTTAACTGAATTTTTATTAAAATCCTCTTACATTTTTCTTTAGCTTGATTTTGGGGCAACTGACATATGTTTCCAAGTTATTTTCTATAGAGAAAAGACGATATGTTTTCTGGGCTCTTGGCTATCTGAACAAGTGTGCTACATTTATTTGTGAACAAAATTATGGCTAGTGCAGGTGTACAGGATTATAATCCTTTCTGCTTTCAAACCCTAGGCATTGCTCCCTTTCCTCTGTTATCTAGTGCTGCTGAAGGAAGTGAGAGCCAAGAATGGGTTATTTTTGTGTATAGATATACTTACAATACATCTATTTACAAACACACTTACGGGGCCTCCCCCATGGGAACATGCAAGCCCTATTCTGCTCAACGAACAGTGATGTTAGGTTTAGACTGAGTCAGCCACATAAGCCTAGGCTTTCTGGAGAACTAAATTCATAGAGAATATAGAAAGAATACAGGGATGGCAAAAGACAACAACACAGCACACATGGAGGTTTAGTCAAGGTCACAGGACTCCCAAACATAGGTTATTTTGCTCCAGTCCCTCTTTCTAATGGACTTGTGTGGTCGTGAGAGATGATACTCTTTGAATGTGGTCCATGTCAGCCGAGGAAAGCTGTTGACCCTGAGCCTCCTTCAGCCCTAGCTACCAGAACCTTCTGTGATGCATGTTTATGCATGTTCAATTTAGCCACAGTGCCTCCTCACAGGTATGTGGCCACCTCCCTGTCTCTTGTATAGCTGCATCTGTCAATACCTTGAACGTGTTACTCTGTGAATAATCGAAACAGTGCAGGACGCAACTCATATACATAGGTGCCAGCTGAATTCTCTTAGGAGAGTTAGACTCTTTTTATGTCCAAAGTTGAAAGCACGGACATCTGCGGAGGGTCACATTTCTGCCCTCTACCTCTGTAGTAAATCCTTCCCACATGTAAACATTTCCTCTGCCTTTTGAGGGCACTACTCTCTTGTTTATAAGATATTTATGAATATTATCATGTTTTATGAATATTATCATAAGATTTGTATCTGCTTTTGTTTGTCGCATTTATGTAGTAGGCTTATCAAGTGCCGAGGAACAAGGTGAGTAGTTTTTCCTTGGCCCCATTAGTACCTCAATGAAAACTTTAAACCGTGAGCTGGGAGGATAATTTCTGTGTGCTGTTGTTCTACTGCAGAAGGATGGCTCTCCCTCTATGGTTACCGAAGCCAGTGTAAGCAGGCAACTGTGCCTGGGTCTGCAGAGGCTAAGCAGGGAAATTTCTAGCTTGTTTATGACTAGTTCCAGTGTTCAAGCTAGGGACCTTAAGAGATCTGAAGGAGTAACAGATGTCCTAGTCTCAGTGGCTATTCCATTTTTGCATTATTCTGTGTTTTTCATGAGCATTTAAATGGGGAGGTATGGTAGGGAAACGTCAGTTGTTGGTAGGTAGTTGCTGTGTTAATTCAGCCATCCCCCAGGATCAGTTGCTTTTTATTTTCTCCAGTGTTCTCACAGCTCTCCTTTATCGAGCAGTCCTGTTGTATTCTGTGATGCCGAAGGTCTGCCCCAGTTCCCCAGTGCTTTGCTTATGCTTGGTCTTCAAGGTAACCACCACACCCTTTATGTGCCTAGGCATGGGAAGCGTGCTTTGTGTTCTTGTTTGTTACTTTCAGTGCAAATTGTAAGCAGAACTTTTATTATGCAGGTAAGGTGGGAAAGATGCTACCTGTTCAACCTTGCTAAACTTCTAGGCAACAGGAATGGATATTTGCAGTGCCGGGGATTGAACACAGGACCTTCACAATGAACTACGTCTCCAGTCCCTCCTTCCCTCTCTCTCTTTCTTTCCTTTTTTAAAAAAATTTTTTTGAGACAATTTTGCTAAGTCCCTAACTTGCATAGGATGAGCTTGAACTTGGGGTCTTCCTGCCTCAGCCCCAGGGAGTGCTAGGATTACAGGCATGTGCTACCATGCCCAGCTATTAATAGCCCCCTTTTAATCCCTCAACGCCTAATATCACACAGCTCTAACTAACAAAAATACTTATAATCCATCAGATTTAGGCAGTATGAGCTGCTATTGCTCTTTGCTAATATTCTTATACAAAATGTTAATAATATACATTGTTGCTTTATTTCTGTTCCAGGCTCACCTTGAGATCTTGGAAAAAAGTGTCAATCCCAAGCAAATCTACTTCCGGCAGGACACGCTCTGCCAGACACTGGGTGGGAATCCATGTCCACTGGTGACCATCACAGCCATGCCTGAGTCTAATTGTGCTGACCATCTGGAGCAGTTCCGTGAGTAAAACAGGCACTGTTTATTGGAAGATTTTCTTGGGGGAGGAACTTCTGCAATCTTGGGAGTACTTGGTCCCGGTCCCTTTGAGATTGAAGCTCCATGGAGAGTTGGAGACTTACCTGTTCTTTATAGAAATACAGTCCTCATTCTTTTTCTTTTTTTGGTACTGGGAATGGAACTCAGGTCCTTGTGCTTGAGAGGCAGGCAGCAGAACCACTGAGCTAAATCCCCAGCCCTTCATTCTTCTTCTTATGGCACTCAGTAAATATTAATGCTGCTTTGTTTTTAAAAAGAGAGAAAATGAATTGCAAACAATGAGGGAGATGAAATGATGTGCTGGAATGGAAAGCAGATAACTGGTGACATTTACTTCCTTTCTGAAAATGGAACCAGGACTCTGAATCACTTTTTCCAACCTCTGATCCAGGGACTTTTCTCATCATGCTCATTGCTATTAAATTACTCTCAGTCAGTCAGGGTTTGGAAAGGAAGTAGATCCTTTGAGTGGATCCTTTGTGCAAAGGAATCCCCTTGATGACCCTAATACTACGATCCGAAGGGCTGAGGGTGTGAAGGAAGCTCTAGCTATGAACTGTGAAACCAAGTCACAGCCAAACCAAATACACACACACACACACACACACACTACAGCATAGGTATGACTACCTTGTCATCCATGAGTTTTTGTAAATGGCTCTGGATGGAGCTCTAAACCTTAGCTAGGTAAGAAAAGCTAAAGTGAATGAGGAATGCTTTTCAATACAAGGAAGCTTGGAAGATGGAAGAAAAGACGGAAGAATAAAAACCCAGCTAATTTATCCCCAGAAGATACCGCCTAACTTGATGAGGTGTTAATGGCATTCAGGTGACTCTTTGGTGGCTACAAAATGTAATTTCTTACACCCCATCACATCTGACAATGGATGCTTAACAACCTGGCTAATCAACAACTGATTATCCCATCTGAATTAATGAGGCCCTAAAATGCTTTAATGAATAATAAGGGATTTTTCAAAAATTCTCTTACGTGTTTTGTGCATTTAAGAGCAATTTCTCTAACAGTCACAGAGCTCCACCCGGCAGATAAAAAACTGCTTGGGACTTAGAGATAGTAACCCTTCCAGGGCTATCTTCCAGGCCTATCTTCCTTGAACAATCATTTATTTAAGACAGTAGATACATATAAATTTGTTTTGCAAGTTCTGCTTCTAAGGAGGAGGAGAGAAGAACCCACTGTATAATTGTGAGATGGAAGTACCTGTGTTTTTACATTTTTATTTATTCTGACATTGGTGCTTTTGCTGATATTATTATTACAAAGATCCTTCTTACTTTGAGGAGAGGATTTGAAACACAGGCAAGGCCCATGCATAATTTGGTACTCCAAGAAGCAGTTCAGTGAAAAGAAAGAGAGACAGAAAGGAAAGATCTCTTAGTACCCCTTTATATAAATCAAAGGAGGCCAGGTTCTGCTTGCTGTCCATATGCTTAGTTATAAGAAATGTATACTTACACATCATTGTAGGTGTTTGGTTTTTTTCTTTTCTCTTAAACATGTGCAAATGTGTCTGCCTTTGTTCATCTCTAGAGGTACTGAGGCAGGAGCAGGGACCTATGGTGAGCAGATGAATGATGTTCATTTTTCAAAAAATCACTTACTTTACTTTAAATCATTGAGCTAGACCTGGAAGAAAGCAAGACTATGATCCAGGTGAAAGGACCAATAAGGACTGTCTTCATAGGTGGGTCACTTGTACAGGTCCCCTAGTTAGAGGAGCAGGCACTTTGTTTGATGCTTTTTGGTAGTCACCTTAAATTTCTTTAAAACGTTTTTACTATGTACGTATGGCAACATGGATGTTAACGGTCTGTTTTAATAAGTCAGGCACAGATAAATACCACAATCATACTTATTGTGAGAAATTAAAAAGTGGATCTAACAGAAGTAGAGACCACAATAGTACTGCAGTTGCCAAGGGCTGGGAAGGGTGGGGTGGGGAATGGAGAGGAGGCCTAGTGGGTACAGGGGTGCAGTTGACTAGGAAGAAGAACAGCTCAACTTCTGTAGCACAGTGAGATTGACAATTAACAATTATTATGAAGAAAAATTGACAACAGTTAATTGTACAACTCACAATAGGCGGTAGGAAGGATTTTGGGCATATTCAATGATAAATGTTAGAGGCAAAGAATATGCCAATTACTGATCTGATCAATGTACATTGTATACTTGCATTAGAATCTTGTTCTGAACTCCATAAATTGTCAATTAAAATTTGTATTTTTTAAATTAAAAAATAAAAGTGTTGAAGAAAAAAATAAGGTTTTAAAAGGGACCCTGCATTTTCATCTTGCACTGTGCCCTACCAGTTACGTAGCTGGTCCTGAGAGTGCTTGAAGGTTAGACAACAAGAAAGTTGTGGGCCTGGCGCCCTTCCATTACTACCGTCCTCTCTTTCTGAGTCACAGAAGAAGAATATTGTACATTGTATACTTGCATTAGAATCTTGTTCTGAACTCCATAAATTATGTCAATTAAAATTTGTATTTTTTAAATTAAAAAATAAAAGTGTTGAAGAAAAAAATAAGGTTTTAAAAGGGACCCTGCATTTTCATCTTGCACTGTGCCCTACCAGTTACGTAGCTGGTCCTGAGAGTGCTTGAAGGTTAGACAACAAGAAAGTTGTGGGCCTGGCGCCCTTCCATTACTACCGTCCTCTCTTTCTGAGTCACAGAAGAAGAATTCTAACCTCTTTGGCCCATTCACTGACAGTCTTATTTGTGTGGACTTCACTATAGTGATGAATTAGGAATTAATTCTATTATGGCTTAAATCTGGAACGTCCCCCATAAGTTTCAAGGGTTCACGGTGGTCACGGGGCCCTATACTCTTCAGTGGATCCAACCATTTACGTGTCCATCATACCCAATGTGCTGTTGGTGGCCATGCTAGGAAGAAGCATGTCACTGGAGGCTTGCCTTAGGAGAGTGTTTCTCCCTCTGGGGCTCCTTCTGTCTCTCTCTCTGTTTCCGGGCCACTGTGACATGGGCAGCTTTCTTCTACCAGGCCCTTCTGCCTTGCTATTTCAGACTTGAAACCAGTTGACCATTGGCTGAAACCCCAGAACTGTAAGCGAAATTAAACCTGTTTAAGTGTGGGTGTTGGATATTTTATCTCAGTGAAGGAAAGTGACTAACACCCTCATTTTAAGGACAGGATAAGTAGGGGCTGGGTGGGGGTGTTAAATACCATGATTGATGGTGGTGCCAGGCTCTAGGCCTTGTTATTCTAATCTCAGAGTTTCCACGTACAACAGATGTGCTGATTCCATTACCATGTTCACCATCAACATTCTGGCTTTGCTGTGTGAGCCAGAACTTCCTCTCGTAGGGGTAGGGATGTAGCTCAGTGGTGCTGCACCTGCCTGCCAAGCCAAAGTCCTGAGTTCAGTTCCCTGTACTGAAAAACTCCCTCTAGTAGTTTAGTTGTTAGAGCAGTGCATGTTAAATGGACCACAAATGTCTTGTTCTCTTGCTACTCACAATGAAGTTTATTCTCCTTTCTTTATCTATAAACATTTTTTTAATTGAGTTTATTGGTACAATCTAGGTATACAATACAATTACATTCATCATTGGGATTCTGTACCTTTACATAATAGGTATTGATTCTCATTTTTTCCCCTTGTCCCTGCCCTCCCTTCACCCCCTCTTCCCTCCCCATTTACAAACACTTTATTTCCATTTTTTCAGTTTCTCATATTTTTTTCCTCTCCCTTATTACCTTTCCCCCACCCTTCCCACTTTCCCTACACCTTTAGCCCTTTACTTCCTATTTCACATTATTAATTATCTCATTAGGATCCTGTGTACTATTATAGTTTTTGCACCAAAGAAACTATTCGGTATTTCAGTTAAAGAAATCTCTGTATGAACATTAAAAATAGGGAACCCTAAAATAAAACTAAAAAGGAAAGTAAAAGAGAAAAGGCAATGATGTAACATTAAAATAATCCTTAATTCTGGAGATAAAAATGGTCCCCGAACATATTTAAATAAAAAAAAAGAATGAGATAAGAGTATAGAGCAAGAAGCAGTCTATAAGCATTTTTTTATGGTGGCTATTTCAAGCACTGGGGAAGGAGGGGAGAGAAAAGATTCTTCTGGTCCTAAGGTCTTTCCTAAGACCCTCAGAACCTTGCCCAGAGCTGGACATCTGGGATCACAGCCTCAGCCTGACTATATAATAAAAAATTTACAGAGGAGCTTGCAATATATGCAGGAACACATATCATTGCTGTGTTCCTAAAATAAAGAACCCAGCACGATATAAACACCACCTACTCTCCAAAGTACAATTAACCATGCCTATAATAATTCAGAAGTAAAACTTTAACTTTCAGACACAGAACATGATGTGTTGATTTAGGAAGAGAACTTGGCACACGAACCAGCAGCTCAGGATTCTCCCACCTCCAGGCTGCCCTCTAGGTGAGCGTCAGTTGTCCTACATGCATCTTCCTTCTAGGGACTGGCTTAGCTTCGGTCAGGTGTGGGATGTTGAGCTGTGATTTAGCCACTTTCCTCTTATAAAGAAGGAATGTGGTACCAAAGGACTTTCCTCCTCCTTTGTTGAATTATCACTTGAGCCTTATGACTTGTTGGCCGCCACTTTCCTCTCATAAAGAAGGAATGTGGTACCAAAGGACTTTCCTCCTCCTTTGTTGAATTATCACTTGAGCCTTATTTCAGAAACCCATGAAATAAAAGCATGGCCACAGGGCCCAGGGAGAACGCCCCTGATCAAGGCTGCTTTCCCTGGTGGTTTTTCTAAAGTTTCAGACCCAGAAATTATGGAGGACAACTTATTGATTACTTTTAGTTCTTCCCAGGGTATGGGTTGTAAAGAATCTCCCAGAAGAATTTATTTGGTTTGATTTATATTTCAAAAGCATTTTCATTTTAAAAGTGGAAATATTTAGCTTTACTTTTTAACAAA